AAATATACACAAACACCTAAAATTATTCGTGAAAATATCTCACATTTATGCCTATTTCGGGGCTCGGGTAGTAGAGATGATATTAGTAGAATCGTACGTCAATACACAGATGATCCGAAAAAAGCATCCAAGATAATTGATAAACATTTACGGGATCGAAATTTTGTAGTCTTTGATTTTACTAAGGCGGTAGACGATCCTCTAGCAGTTAGACTGGGTTGGGATACTGTTTTAAACAGTTCTGATTAAGTATAAAATGAAAACCAAATATTCTATAAAAGATGCTTGTAAAATTGCTATGGAACAAAATGGCTTATGTCTTTCAGACAGCTATATTAACTGCAATACATCTTTATTGTGGAAATGCGCCAAAGGTCATGAATGGATGGCCCCTTTTCATAGAATTAAAAATGCTAAAAAATGGTGTCCGCATTGCTCAAAAAGTAAATCTTACACTTCTTGATGATGCTAAACGAGTTGCGAATAATAAAAATGGAGAATGCCTTTCAGAAAAATATATTAATAGTATATTACCACTACGGTGGAGATGCGCTGAAGGACATGAATGGTATTCAGCACTTAGAAACGTAAAATATTGTAATACTTGGTGTCCAGATTGCGCACATACTAGACCTCTTACTCTTGAAGAAGCTAAACAAATCGCACATAGTAGGAATGGTGAGTGTCTTTCTGAGATATTCATTAATATTCGTTCGCCTTTATTGTGGAAATGTGCTAAGGGGCATAAATGGAGTGTTAGTCTTACAAGTATAAAACATTGTAATAGTTGGTGCCCATATTGTGTGGGTACAAGAGGTCTTACTCTTGAAGAAGCTAAGCATATAGCTCATAGCAGAAATGGGGAATGTCTTTCTGAGGTATTTGTTAATATTCGTTCACCTTTATTATGGAAATGTGCTAAAGGTCATGAATGGTATTCAACACTTAAAAACATTAAAAATAGTAACTCTTGGTGTCCATTTTGCCGTTTTTATAAACGTGAAAATTTATGCCGTAGAATTGTAACAAAATATCTTGGACCTCCTTCAGAAAATCGTTGGCCCGATTTCTTAAGAACACCAGAGCATCCAAACGGATTAGAACTTGATATTCCCTACTATAATTATGGTTTCGCAATTGAAGTACAAGGAGAACAACATGCAAAATATCATGAATTCTTTCATAAAAAAAATCCCAATAATTTTATCAAACAGCAAGAACGGGATCAACTCAAGGTAGAATTATGTGAAGAAAATTGGATTGTTTTAAGATACGTTTGGTATTACGAAGATCCGAGAATTGGGTCTTATTGAGTAAACTTAAAAATTTAAATGCTTTATTTAAAAAATTTTGAATATTTATTTCGCAAACACTGTCATTTCGGAAGCAATTAATTTCGCGTTAAAAAAGCATTCTTTACTACTAAAACATATCAATTAAGAAGTGGATCCATCTCAAATCTTATCATAATAGGAGTTTCATTTTTATGTATAGTAAAATAAGAAATTGCATGATGAATGAAAAGCAGATTTCATTACAGGTCTCGAATTTACATCTTTCGGATTCAAGCACATCCCCTCAAAAACTGGGTGAGATTGGGTTCATCTTGAGGATCTAAAAACTTGATTGATTTTCTCGGTTCATGTGCATAAGCTAGTTGGTCAGTAACATCGTTACCAACAAGGGCATATTCCACTTGATTGCCCGGATCTTTTTCCCAGACTACAATTTTGGCTTGAACCCATTTTGACCAATTATCATTATCACCAATAGATATTTCAAACATCTGAGATGCACAGAATTGTCTTGCAGGCGCCCCGTAACCCACAGCCCTTGCATCAAGCGTGCTCCAGCCTCTTTTCCCTAGCGTTCTCTTGATATAAAATGGTAAGATTGTTTGTGGCGCACCTGTATCAATCACGCATGTATACTTCTTGTTCTTATTTTCAATGTCATAAAAATCGTACTCAAGTAGAGCAATTAAACCTTCCCTGGGTCTTTTGACACGAATTCTGACCTTTATTTGAAAAAAATCACTAAATTAACTTGAAAAACTACATGAATATATCTTTTATTACAAGTACTAAATTTCATAAGATAAAATTTTCCAAAACCTATGATCAAATACGTATTCAAACCTTGTAGTCGTTGCCATTTTCAGCACGCTGAACAATTACCATCTTTGCTGGTGGATTACGTGGCAGACGTTTTTGATCAACCGGGATTTGGACAGCACCGGGCATGGTTTCGAGAATGCAGTTCAATTTATCATCATCATACTTTTGTCCATACTCTATTACTCTCTGTTTATGTACCGTCACCCACTCGTTTTCATGTTCAGAAAATTCGCCACGGTCGAGTGCGTTGTAGAAAAATAAGAGGTTAAATCCGACCTCATCATCGAATTCGAAATCAACATCAGCGATGTTCTCGAAGGCACTTCTTCTGAGGTATTCTGGCATTGAGGAGGGCCACCTGAAGTTCTTGCCCACACGAGCTACAAATAGGTTAAGGAAACAAACATCAAAACACTACTATATGTATTTCCACTATGATATTAATGTATATAAAGAAAATTACGAACTGTACCGAGAAATCTTTGTGCTTGACCAGGCGTCTTCTCATATGTGAGGAGGGTTTGAAGTGTTTCAGGCGGATTGTCTTGAGCTGTTTGGAAGGTATCCATTACTTTAGATAAAATAAAAAGTCTAACGACGACGTTAATCAATATTAGTATATTAGTATAAATGGTTTTCACAGAATACTTTTTCTATTATTGAAATCATACCCAACAAACGGGATCAAAATAGGCGAGAGCACAGTAATTACACTAATTATAATAAGAAAAGCCATGAATACAAAGGTGAATGCTAGAGGAAATAAGAGAACAGTAAAGCAAATCAATTTGCAGTTAGACATAGCGATAGGAAACATCGTTATTTGGTTACGCGTAAAACTGACTTTATACGTACGTACAGTCGCACCTGAAATATTTGCATAATCTGTCCATGGGCAGTCGGGGATTTTGGTCTCCGATGATCGCACTTCATTAAGTAGGGATCATCCGATCAGATGCTTCTAGATTTTTCATACCGTGATCGAGGATTAGATTAAAGGAACTACTCTAGTTGCTGTCGAAGTTTACTGTCTGGAAACAGCTGGCTAGGAATATTATTCAACGACTTCAATGTTTTATTTAACACAATATTACAAGATGTCAAACGGCACCTACTAACTGTTTTTTTCTTTCGACCCTCAATTCGTAGATAGGCCACAAAAGCCGAAGTGTATTAATGAACGCTCTCACGAGTGCATACAATGATCCGCACGTCGTTTATTATTTATGAAAATGATCACACTTAGGAAAACTATGCTCGAATAAAAGCTCTTTTGTGTAACCATTGTAAAGGGTAAGAAATGATTGTTTATTGATCTTTGAAATCGCACGGAGTTCGAAGAGGTATATTGATTGGGATGATGATTCAGCGTGAGAAAGGCGAGAGAAAGAGTGGGAGGGATGGGAGAACATTAATCACTGAAAGTGTGATTGAAGATTTGACCCGTCACATGTAAGACTTAGAGAAACGTGCAGTTCGTGGGTGCAATCGCTTAGTTGTTTTCTGATTAGTAACATACCGTCAGATCTACTGTTCCTTCTCACATAAGACCTTAGTCCAGCTTGACTATGTTCTTTGAACAAACCTGCAAAAAGTCTTGGAAAGTCTTTCGTTCGTGTCTTTCGTACACTGGCACTCTTGCTCAGTTAGCAAGCCTCGCAATTTGAGATCGCCCGGTCCGAGATAGACAAATCCGAGATGAAGGCACGATGAAGGTACGTTGAAGGTACGATGTTTTTTTTTTTTTAAAAACGTATAGAAATATCATATCTCAGTTGAACATTCGTTGAAATTAAATTTTGTGCTCATGCCCGAATATAAACTTTCTTATTCTTGATCGAAGTTATGGTTTTAGTAATATACCAATTATAGAAAATGCAAAATATTGTCCGAAGCTACTACATCTGAGTCTTGATGCGTGTACAGCTATTACTGACAGATGCGTTAGTGAAATAACACAATCTTGTCCAAATTTAAAATACATAAATCTCGCTTCTTTGTATAGAGATAGTAACATTTCCAGTGCATCTGTGATTGAAATCAAAAAAATTGCACAGTTAAATCGAAACCTGCAAAAGCTTATTCTTACTTCCTGTTACAAAATTACAGATAATGCTATATGCGATATAGTCCGTTCATGTTCAAACATTCAGAATCTTAGTTTTCAATATATTTATATCACTGATAAAACGATATATGAAATCACACACCACTGTTCTAATTTACTAGTTCTCAATGCAAAGAAATGTCCGTTTATTTCTGATAAATCAATCTACTTTCTATTAAGTAAAAAACCGGCACTAGAGCTAATATTAGATTGGATTCCGTGATTCATATGGGTTGGTCATTCCAAACTTTCAAATAATATATACTATGTGAGATGGTTGTGCAACAACCAGCGATTTTATTTAGTCCGATTTTTTTGCAAACCCCTGTATGAAAGATATGTACGATTCTCTTTCCTCCCCACCAGTATTATTATATTACACAAACTGTCATATCGTTTCCATTTATGTGTTAATCAGCGCCACATTTCTTGAAATGTTAATAAACAGCAAACCAGAGTAAAGAGCAAATATTTTGATGCATACCCGGGTATTAGTTATCAATATGATGTAACCCTTCCCCTTCACGAGTACCCCGGTACTAGATGAACTGGGGAACTCTTACGTACATATTAATATTAATTATAAGTGCGAACTAGATCTGTACCGGATCCAGAAAAGGTATAGTAATAGTAACAATTTAAATTACCCTGTATAAGTGGAAAATAAAGTTTCCGTCGCGCATTGTTTATAGGAATACAAATATGTGTGCTGCAACCCACCTAACTTTAAACAGACTGAGAAAAAGCAACGGCAAAAATTTTTTTTACCCCAATTCAACGTAGTCATGTTCTTGATAGATTCAATCAGTATATGGAATCTCCTCTTTTTGCTCGTTCTCGGCCTGGGTTTTTATACAGCGCGGTTCTATTATGCGTATTACACCCGAGCTAATCCTCTTCCAGGTCCATTCCCTCTTCCACTCATGGGCAATCTCTATCAATTTCCTGGTGATTTTGGTAAATGGGTGAACAAGTTACAAGAGACATATGGCGACATGTTCGAACTCTATATTGGTAGAGAACGCAACATTTGGCTCAATCGTGGCGACATTGTGGAGAAAATGATGATAAACTCTCCAAGGAATATTTATTTGCTGAGAATGAATCCTAACGATGGATTAGACGAGATGGATTTGACAACGAAAGGATTGGCTTTTAACAGAAATTTAAAAAATTGGAAATTGTACCAGAGCGTGCTGAATAAGTCTTTGGTTGCACCCGAATTTCAAAAGGAGACTTTGAATCTTTTACAGAAAGCTTTTAAAGAAATGGAAGGCTATTGGGAAAAGTTGGGGCCTAATGCCATCATCGACGTTCCGCAATGGAATTTGAACTTGATTGGCGATGTTATTATTAAATTGACTACTGGCAGAAGTCCGTATTCTCTGACAACATACTTTAATGAAGTGTACAAGGGTGAGAAGGCTCCATACCCTAAATCAACTCCATGGGAAGAAACAGCAAAAATTCTCAAGTGTCTGGAGACGTATTTTACAGCCGTTCAATATTTTTTGTTTATGCCATCGATCTTCAGACACTCTTTGTTTTATCCAATGACTAAAAGTCTACTCAAATCTATCAATTGGAAGCAGGAAAAACTGAAAGAGATAATTAAGGACAGAAGACAAGAAATTGCAATAACTGATGTTTCAGAGCCTTTGAGAGCGGATATATTGACCATGTTTATTACGGCTAACACGAGCAGGAGTATAATAGGCAAAACTACAAAAGACGACGAAGCTCGACCATTAACAGATGGCGAGATCGAAGCTATTTTGTGGGAGACTATTGGGGGGTCAATTGATGTGGTGAGTACATCAGACAATGATTAAAAGTAATTTTTGGCAGCTAGACTATTCTACGGGTACATGCAATTGGAGCATCTCGAAAGTTATTTTTACATCTTTATCTTTTAACGCCTAGACGGCACACGTGCTTGGTTATATTGTGGAGTACATGTCAAGACATCCAGAGGCGAAAGCAAAGATGATAACTGAAATTGACTCTGTATTCAATGGCAACACTGAACGGGCTATCACTTTGGAAGATTTAGAAAAGCTCAACTATTGTGAGGCCATTATTAATGAAAGTGAGTGTGACTGACTGCTATTATGTTCTATTCTTATTTCCGTCCAAGAACTAGCCTTCAAAACCTCATCTCTACACCATTTCACTCATATTTTCCTTTTATCCTTCAATCTACTTTCCAGCTCTCCGCTTAATTCCGACAGGTCCTCTGTCGTTCCGCATAAACGCAGAAGAAGATGTAATTGGCGGCCATATATGGAAAGAGGGTACTCAGTTCGCGCTCAATTATCATGGTATGACGACGAATAAATCCGACTGGACTGATGCCAAAAAGTTCCAACCCGAGCGATTCTTATCTTCGGCGGCAGTGAAGAAAATTGCATTCCTACCATTTGGTGCTGGTGCTAGAGCATGTCCGGGAAAGAAGATAGCCTATGACATATTGAAGACTGAAATGGCATTACTTTATAGAAAGTATGAGGTGGATTCGATTGACCCGACTGCAGAGATCAAGTATCATTATAATGTGGTCAACGCCTGTGATTCTGGTAAAGTTTATGTTAGAGAGAGAAATGGTTGAAAAAAAAGCAAGCGTGAAACGGGAAACAAGATAGTTGATGGGTAGGAGGTAAAGCGGAAATGAATGTATAAATTAAATCCTAGCACAATGGATATATATGACGCGTCTTATGGTTGAACGGAAAATAATGTGATGACGCGAATTACTGTAGTATAGACATCTTCTGAGACGTATTCCAAATCAAGACTTTTATTTTTTTACATATTGTACATTTCAATCCGTTGAAGTATCTGATTGTCTTCAAAGCACCATCAACATTTCCTCAATCATAGACACCATAGTTCGGTATATAGTAATGACTTTCCTTTCAAACACCCGATATCCAACCACCAGCCCACCTATATTCGAATCCATTTACACCGCAACATTCGCGATACGCTCAGCCGGTTCAACCATGGAAAATATCTCGAGCATAATTTCAGAAAAATTAGTATAAGTGGATGCATTTGCCATTACGTTCTTGAACCCATCCGACTCTCTCACGTCGCCGATATTTCTAACAACATATTTGATAATATGATCCTTCAACTCGGGATATTTCCATTCCGTTCCGAATAAAGTTTCGGCCGCATTTTGAACGCTGAGGTCGTCAAATATTCGGGACTTGGCCCTGTGACGTAATTCTTCAATTAAATATTTGTCGGCTATCCTGAAGAGCTCCATTGATGACGTATGCGGTGAATCGGCTGTCTTGTTAAATGTAACTTTATTCGTATACAAGAATCTTAGCATCTCTAGAAACGTAGCTGGATGAAAGTCCGTTACCGCAATGCGATATCGATAATTGTGTTCGCATGCTGGCATCTGATTCGCATTGCCAAGCTCGGGTTCTGCGTTAGCATCATGCATAACTGTATCCTGTGCGAGTGATAATGATGACATGCTTGCTGGTGGCTCGGCGAGTGGCCGTTCATTCTTTGTTGCACTAGTTGATTCGGACCATTGACCACCAAACATGCGCTGAAAATATTCAGACCGTTTAGAAAGTATTCCGCTGCTGGCATAGATTATTTGTCCGTCTACATTGAATTCCACGTCAACCACTTCGGGTTGGTTAAGCTGACCTTGCCATGCTTCGGCAAGGTCTTTAGGATAGACTTCGCCTGGCAAAGGAGTAGTGTGTCGTATATAACCGATTTCTGCTTTATCAAACTCAACTCCTAGTATTACTTTGTCTTGCGGAAGAATAGATTTCCTACAGAACTTTCGACGACCTACATTTGCATACACAGAAATCAGATCAGATCGAATACTATTTCCAATTGAGTAAAAAGAGTCTCGGCACAGAGCAGCTCAAGATAAAAAAATTTTCAAATAATACCCCATGTGTGTTCTTTAGCAGAGTAATTGCTCATTGTCATTGCATACTTATCGATCTCAGCGCCAGTATTAGCATTCTTTAAGAACAACTTTGCGGATAACTTTGATCTTTTCGCCCAAGCGGAGATTGTGTTTTCCGCCTCTTGTATGCTTGGTATAGCACCGAGAAAAACGGAACAGTACTCGTCACCATCATCCACAAATTTCTATATGATATGAGCCAGGCTATTAGTAAGCGCGCCCATAATAAACATGGTCAGAATAGAGCGTCTTCTAATTCGACAGTTTACCGGATCAAATCGCAACTGCCAAAACATATGTGACGCAGTTGCGAAGGGTGGTGTGTAGAGAGGTTTGGCGAGTTTAGTTGGGTTCATCAACGTGAACTCGAAGGTACTCTTACTCTGAAATGGGCTAGACATTACTGATTGTAGGTTTTTATGTACAGATTACGTGAAAGAGAGCTACCTAAGCACAGAGACAATGCATTTGAAGCAAAAACCTCGATCACGTGATAGTTTGCGTGACAAAAACCAGTTGCTCTTGGAGTTAGCGTTAGACAACAAAGCTCTATATATTAATATCAATACTGTGCAACAAAGATTTGATTATCAGTAATAGTAACTGATGATGTTTTTAAGCACTTCAAGACACAGCTTCATA